GAATTTTGAAAGTTGAATTAATGTCCCTAGAAACAAAACCAATCTCTTAATATAAAGTGTGAGAGCTTTAGGGACATAGTTTTTATACAAAGACATTTAACAAAAATTTTTAAAACTATCTTAGAATAGTTTTTCTAGCCAAACGTAGGAGCTCATACTTATAAGCTCAGAACTCTAGGAGGCTGAGGCAGGAGGATCACAAGTTTGAGTCCAGCCTGGGGAACTTATTGAGACTCTGCCTCAAAATTTAAAAATTATAAGATAGAAGAGACTATTTCAAAGTAGAGACTACAATCTGCATACTGGTCTCTTACCAATTAAAAAAGGAGGTGTTGAAGACCCTCAGGGAACCCAACACTCCCATTTCTGAAGTCCCACTCCACATCCTATCAGATGTGCTAAAATGTACGCACATCCATATTAAATACTTCAAGAAACTGAATTGCATATCACATTTATCTTTCCTGAGGGTTTCATTCTTTTGAGCCCACTCCAAGTGGGCCTTTGTCTTCACTCTCCCACCAGCACAGCTCTCGTCATGGTCTGGCAGAACCCCTAAGTAGCTAAAGCTAACGAGCAACTCCCAGTCCTCACCCTACCTGAACTTCCAACCACATGCAACATCACTGATGCAGGGGCTCCTCCTCCAGACTTTTCCTTTACTCAACTTCAAGGACATCTAACTTCCTTCCTATGCTCTAGTTGCTCCTCCTACACTCAACTCCAAAGCATCCCAGATTTAATTGAGTATATCAGCAAATTAGAAGAAAAGTCATAGTTTATCTGCCCATCATCTGAGCCAATAGAATTAACAATATATTCTATTAATAACACTGAATTCAAGGAATGGAGATCATTTACTTGGGTCTGCTATGTTGAAAATACGTGCATAATTCCTTTGGTTTAAAATATTTTCTGGTATTGCTGGTGGAATTTCTTCTCTTCTCCACAAATGGTAAATACTGACATGCCCCAAGGCTTGCCCTGGGGCTTCTTTCTCTCTCCACATTCCTCAGTTTACCTCACTTGAATCTGTGGGCAACTTTCAGATTTGCACCTCCAACCTGGACCTCTTCCCTAAATTCCAGGTTCTACAGCTAACAACCTACTCAACTTCTCCATTTGGAAGTCAAACAACATCTTCAAAACAGTTCCTGGTTATCCTTCCCATCTCGGTTACCGGCGACTCCATAATTAAGTAAAATGCTTCCGTGTTATCTGATACTCTGATCTCTTTTTTTTCCCCTACTCCTCCAACAGTTGTTCAGGAAATGCTACTGGCTCTCACGTCCTTGGCCATTTCTCATCATCTCCTCTGCTATTAGCTTCTTTCAAGTAGATTACGGACAGCAGGTGCTCATCCTTGACCACCTCCTCCATTTCTCTATCCTTAACACAGCAGCCAGTGATTCTACCAAAACGCAAGTCAAATCACCTCCCTTCTCTGCTCAAGACCCTGCAATGACTCCCCATTTCACTCAGAAAAAGCCAAGTCCTTCAAGTGGTCTAGCAGGTCCTTGATAAAATCCCCAAAGCGCTCTTACTTCATCCACTACTGTTCTCTTGGCTCTCTGTGCTCCATTTCTGCGGGCTTCTCACAGAAGGCCCACCCTCTGCTGGACACGCTTCCCCCAGGGATCTTTAGGGTTCACATTCTTCTTCAAGTTATCTTCCCAGTGAGTCTTACCCAACCACATTACAGATGACCCCTGAATTAGGATGGTTTGACCTACAACTTTTCAACTTCACTAAGGTGTAACACTGAGACGCATTTTGTAGAAACTATGCTTCAAATTGTGAATGTTGATCTTTCCCAGGACTAGTGATGTTCAGTCCTGTACTCTCTCTTGATACTAACCAGCAACATATTAGCCACTTGCTCAAGAAGGGAAACAACTGATGCTCTGCAGTGTACTGTGTTGTTAGGCTTTGATGGTCAGTGGGTTAGGTGTGTTAAATGTGTTTCCAACTCACAGTATTTTGAAATTGTGATGGGTTTATTGGGACATAACCCCACCCTGAGTGGAGAAGCATCTGTACCGCAAACTGCAATGTCCCTGACTCATTCCCCAACACTTCTAATGTCCCTTACTACTCTTTTTTCCATTGCACTTATTATCTTCTAAAACACAATGAAACTTACTTTGTGTTATGGTTTAGATCAAGAATGAGCCCCCCAAAACTCACATGAGCTTAGAAGCAGGGCTTCTGGAAGGTAAATGGGTCCTGAGGGCCCTACATTCATGGGCACAGTCAGCGGCTGAGTGTATTGTTGGAAGGTGAGGTCTGGTCAGAGGAGACAGTCACTCAGGCGGGACCTGCGAGAGTCTACGTCCCGCTCCAGCTCCTCCCTTTCATCTCCGCTTCCTGTCTGCCATGACATGAGCCGCTTTTCTCAACTGCACCTTTCCACCATGCCCTTCCTGCTAAAATAAATCTCTCACGTAAACTGAGGGTGTAGGTTATTTTGTCTCAGCAAAGAGAAACTGACTACGACACTTCTTATGTTTACTGTTTGTCTTCTAACAGAATATAACATCCATGGAGACAGGGCTTTTTAAAATTTTGTTCATGACCTATCTAGGATCTTGAACACAGCCACATGTATACTTGGTATGGATCACAAGAATGAACAAAGAAATTAAAACATTTAACACTTTCAATTTCATAGTTACCTTTTAATATTTGAGTCTTTTTCCAGATCTTGAACATTTCTATTGCTCCTAGAAAAGTCCCCACATTATATCTCAGCCTGACTTCACATCCTAACACAAACCTAAAAACTTCAGACAAGATGGGGACACCCTACATTTGACCAACATCGACTCTGCTCCCTAAAACCAGGACTCTCCTTGTCTGGAAACACCTAATACTCTTCCACACACATGGATTTTGTTCTCCATCTAGACATGATATACTTTGGCAGGAACTGTATAGAGTATTCAGCATAGTCCCGAATATTTCATAAAGACATAAAACCTAGTTTTGGGTGGATTTAGTGAATATTTTTAAAGTATTAATTTTACTAAGTTCAAGATTTTAAACATAAAATGCAGAATGAAGGACAGTTACCTGGGTGGAGGGCATCTACCCTTTAATGAACAGATTGGAATGATATAGCTTGACTCATCTACAGAATCCTGTGCCTTTCTTGGCTGAGCTTGTAATTATGCTATTTAGATATAAATGTGTGCGTAAGTTCCTTTTTCTTAAATACTCCCTTTGAAACTTTCAGATTATTAATTTCTTTTGAATGAATGGTTTTAAATCTTAAGCTTTAATCCTCACAATAAAATCTTAAGTTTTGACACACATTATATAAACTGTGCCAACAGGAGGGGTATTGGATGGAATAAACAATGACCTCATACCAAGTAATAGTGGTTTTCTTTAAAAGGACTCACAAGAAACTCTACAGGATACATGAACAGAAGACTTAGGCCACTGGTATTCCAAAGTACTTTGCATAGTATTAATCACCATACAGAAAAATTTTTAATCTGCACATTTACTTTTTGGCATCTGGAGAAAAACAATTATCTAGCAGGGAAAAGCTGGGGGACTGAGACGGCTGAAAATTAGAAGAAGAATTAGGAAAAATAACTCGATCAATTAGCAATCAAGGGGACAGGCCAGCTGTTCCTCATGCAGGAGCACAGGCTACCCAATATTTGCAAGTGCAAAACACTGTACTAGGTTTTGCTGCTTGTTTAATGCTACCAAAAACCCAAAAATATAGGGACTGGAGGTGTAAGCTTAGTGCAGAAAGCTTGCCTAGCATGTACAAAGGCCCTGGGTTTGATCCCCAGCACTACCATAAAAACAAAACCAAACCAGAAAATATAACAGAAACTGATACACTGCTTGGAAACAAAGCCTCAGAGACCTCAAAGAAAAACTATAAATCTCTCTATACATATTTTATTTTTGTCCTAAGCAACAAAACATTACTTGACTGCTAACTGTATGTCAAAGACCAAGCCAGCTGTTTTACATGTATCATTTATTTCATCAAAAAGACCCTGTGAGACAGTTGCTGTTATTACCCATGGCTTTGCAGATGACAGCATAGAGATTAAGAGGGTAACCTAACTTCCCCAAGGTCACACATAGCAGTCACAGCTGGAATTGGACCCCACAGGACAGATCTCAAAGATCAGACTTACCATTTTACTTCCCTGTCTCTCTGGCATACTGTCTTCAAAATCTAATACTCCTTTTTTAATAATGTCACTGAGCAACTTGTCAAGAACTGCAGACCTATGCTCAGCATATTTCTAAAATTTAACTACTACATGCTAAATGTTTGCTGTTGTAAGCAGAGTCTCATTCAAGCAGGATATATCCACTATCATAAAATTTTTGTAATTTTACTTTTTTTTTTTTTTTTTAACCTAAATGAGCGTAAGTTGAAATAGCCTTTCCTTGAACTATGAAAAAACATCCTTTATTCTTCAGGGAAACATGAAACAAAATATGTGTATGAACAGTTCCCCTTTGCAAGCACTTTGCTTTATCTATTAGATCTCTCAGTGAAATCATAATCCTGTGTTTTACAGTAAGTGCTTTCCCGGGGACTGTCAGAGACCTCAGCTCAGAATTTCACTGCTGCTTTGGTAAAGACTGGATGTTTCCAGAGATAATTAAGAAAACTTGATGGGGGAAGGAGAGGATGCAGAGGAAGGGAAAAGCTATTTAAAGAAAGGAATCATAAATGGTAGGAGTCCAAAAAAATGAATTTTTTACAGCATTTTCTTAAGAATGAACTCTTCTGAAAAATTTTACACAGCAGTCATCTGAAATCAGGGTCCATCCTGGATCATTTACGGATCAGTGAAATAAAGAATCAACAAGGTCCTCAGGTTATCACCTCATTGGAACTTACAGCCTAAGGTCTCATTAAAGAGCCCCACCAGTACGAAAGAAAAAGAAAAGGAGAAGTCACAAAAGCCCTGAACCGAGGGCAGAGGCACAGCAGGCAGGTGGAAGTGAGATTCTACCTCATCTGTTTTTTCTGGGCTGGTCCACCTCTATCGTCACAGAGCCACAGGACACCTTGGTGTGAATCCAGCAAGAGCACTTCTCCTCCAGGCCAGGGAGCTCCCCGTAGACTCCCTGCTTAAACTACACAGGAGGGAGCTGCATTTGCACCCTTGCTCTCCTTGCCTGGCAGGGCAAAGACTGCACAGCTGTAGGCAGGAAATCCTGATCTTCCCGCCCCTCTCCAGCACACTGGTGGACTGGCCTGTCGGAAGGAGCTTCCCCTCGTGGCACCAGCATTAGCTGTGCAACTCAGTGTGAGTCACTCAGCCTCCCAGGGCCTCCACCTCTACAAAATGATAGGCTCACTGAGATGTCGCCCATGGCCCTCTTCCCATCCCCAGGGCTCAACTGAAATAGGACAACAGCTACTTGGCATATTCCAAACTACCCCTAAAACACTACAACTCTGTGGACTGCAAGAAACCCTTAGTGTTTACACTGTGATATTTCTTTTTTTACCATATCTTATATCTCAAGTTTTTAATAAAAATCTGAAGCCTATATTCTCCTTTCAACCTGAAAGTACTCAATTTTCTTTAGAGTTATCACAAGGTTATCTGCTATATAGTAGCCTCAAGCTGCCCAAATGTCCATCAGCAGGATGGATAAACCGAGTATACTCATTCATAAAAGTAAAAAAACAAAACAAAAATTACTCCTACTTTTATCAGTTTGGACTTACTAGATGACATTATGTTGCACTAAAGAGGACATCAAAAAACAAGTCAAGGGGCTGGGTATATAGCTCAGCGGCACAAGTGCCTGCCTAGCAAGCACAAGGTCCTGAGTTCGATTCCCAGTACCAACCTCCCACCCCCGCAAAAACAAAACAAAACAAAGCCAAGAAACAGCATTATATTTGACTGCATTTAAATGCAGTCCAAAAAACAGTAAAACTAAGCTAGGACATTAGAAATCTGGGGAGTGGTTACCCTTGGGGTAGGAGTTATGACTATAAGCGTAAGTTTTGAGGGGCTGGTAAAGTTCTGTCTCTTGACTTGAATGCTGCCCACCTGTCTGTGATGTGATTGTTACATGTTGTACGCTTCTGATCTGTACATTTTTCTGGTTCTGTTTTAATTCAATAACAAGTTCAAAGAAATAAAGCGACAAGGACCAGAAGGGAAAAAAAAATCTACTGAAACTGTATAGCACAAGTATAGCACCTGTGGGGAGAAAATTAATTAATTTCATTTAATGTGACTAGAGAGAGAACTACCTGAAAAGCTCAGTGAGAAACTTCATTTCCTAAGATCTGCTGCTGAAATTTGTTCTATTTTTATAATGTCCTTTCTCACGTGAAACTGTGGCTCTAAATTAATATAAAGCACTGCTTTAAATAAAGTACTAAATATTGGTGGAAAACATCTGAGGATATCTCAGGATGACTCATTTGGAATACAAAGTTTCTAAATACATCTGGTCAGCATCAACCCAATTACCAGCACATTAATGCAGTGACCTGGTAATGACCAAATCTCGCCGAGATCCCTGCTGTACAGGTTGACTTCTGCTGGGAAAGGCCATGCAGGTGAGAAAAACATTCAAGGAAATTCTGTGCTACAGACAACTCCAAGAAAACTCCGGGAAAACAATGCCTTCTCCTTGGGACTCAATGTGGCTCATCTGTGAATTGTTTCTGCACATTTTTGTCTGCCTGAAGTAATACAACTGGCTGGTAGATCAATGATTTCTTTCCCCTTCTCAGTGTTCTATAATCCTTCTTTGATCACTATGGTGAACTATGTGACTGGTCATTTGATTCTCACAAAGAGCGAGAGTATACAAACTTGCAAGTGTAGTATACAAACCTGCATCAGTAGTAATTATACCACTACATCATGTAAGGTATTCAACACAGATTACTTGTTTTTACCCAAAACTTTACAATCCTGCAACATTAGTCATTACTGCTGCTGGGTCCCTTTTGGTCCTACAGAATAGCGACAGGTACCAGTAGTTCCCCAAATGCAGGGGGCGGGACTAATTAAATACTGTATTTGTAGAATCATTAGCCCCTAGGCAAAATATATTTCCAATCTTTGGAAGAGGAAGTCGCATTTTGAGGGGGTGGGGAGCAGTAACAAGTATTCAGTCCCTGTACATTATCTGACATCAAACTAGGGATTCAACAGTAAGGCAGACAACGTTGCCAGAATAAATACCAATTAGTAGTCCATTCCCATGCTGTCTACAGACATTATGGGTACCTTGATTCTAATCATTTTAATACTTTTTCAACTAAAAAAGATCTTATTCTTTAATTTTCACCTGCTAATTGAAAATTCTCCCCACCTCAGCCTTGTTTTAAATACTTATCCTTCCAAGTTTAAATTTTCCTTGCAACCCAGTGCCCAGTATTCCACTTCTACCTTTCTCTTAAATTATGCCTTCAACTCGCTCTACTTATTTTTACAGGCCCCCAGAACTTCTCCAGGATACTGTGCAATTCAAAAAGCCCTCTTAACTACCTTCTACATCAAAGTTTAACCACAGAAGCCAACAATACCATTTTTCCTGCTTGGGTTTAGGGAAGGTACATTATAACTAAAATTTCACTATTTGTAAAATTCCTCCATTAAATCTTTCCTAGTCTCCCTCTGTTTTATATACAATCATAATGTAGCAAACTCCCAAAATGTGTAATTATACAATCATACAGAGACTTCCTAAAATACATGTCATTGTAAGGGCACAACACATACCTTTTATAATTCTGGTGTTGGGAGTACAGGTTAAAATGTTTTTCTTTTAAGTTGTGTTTGTTGTTTCTTGTTGGGGTGGGAAGGAGGTAAATACAGTAGATAGTTGAGGATCATCATATAAGGACCAACTGTTACACTGGAAACCACAGCAAACTATATTACACCAGGATTCTATTGAAGATTATAAACACACCTAAAACTTTTTTCCCCCTGTAAAAGAAGAAAGTTGGAACTGCATAAATGAAAGCAAAGCCACTAACTTTGCCAATAAGGATACGCAATTCCTGCTTTCCCACTTAAGAAAGGAATAGGCTTCATGTCCCAAACTGGATCCTTTATGAGGTCTGTATTAATGAATAATAAGAAAAAAATCATCTCTACATACATGCAGAAAACCTTTCTATCCTAAAGAAAGCCCATGAAATTGGGTTCTCAATTTAGAAAACTACCTAAGGGGTAATTGGTGAATGCCATCTGGGTCCCAGGCAGCCTCATCAACAAAAGGGAAAACTTTTTGAGATCATCCAAACCTAAAATTCACATACATTTTTACATCTGGACTGAATTAATCTTTTCTTGGTCCTGGCTTTTATGTAATAAAATAATTGTTTGCAGGTTTATTTTTTTAAAAGGCCAATTTTAGAAATAAAAATGTGCCATATCCAAGTTGAAAACTACAAAGAATCCCATTATTAACGTTAGTTGTGAGACAGAACTCATTTACGCTAAACTCTAAACCTGCCAGCTCAGTCAAAAACAATTCTGCTTGAAACTTTCATTCCAAGCATCTGCCACAAAAGTCTACACAGCCTATTATGTCACAAGTTCTGAAAGCCAAACAAGCTTTATAAGCATAGTTAAGCATGGGGGGAAAATCCAGAAACTAGAAAAAACTTTATAACACCCCCTAATTCAACAAGCCCAGTTGAGTGACAGTTTTTAAAGAACTTGTAGCCCCAAACTGTTACTTAGCACATTGGTATTTTGTTTTCAAAAGCAGTGTCTTCATCTTGGTCTGTGTTGTTTTCAAGACATTTTCCTGTAAAGCCCGGGGCATTTCAAACTTGCAAGTTCAAATTGAGCACTTGAATCTCTTATCTCAACCCCGCCCCCCGCACTGTCCCCCAAAAAGGAGGGGTTGGAAAGACTTCCTGCCCCTTAAAATGAGCACTGCAAGAACCGCTGGTCACTGCAGCGCCTCAGTGCCAGATCCCAGGGATTCTTACAAGCAATTCAGAGGAGGGGAAATTAGTTCATATTACAGTCAGTCTGCTTTCTGGAGAAGATACCCTGCAGATAACGTGATATGTGATACCCCCTGGGGGACCCTTTTCATCTAATAACCCTACCAAAGGTCTACTTTAATATGAAATAGGAATCCAATATGTTTACAAACATACTGAAGTAGCATTCAAATGTCAGTGGTCTGACAACTGTGGAGTCTTTTCATTTTTAACATAAAACTTTTATTTCCCAAAACCACACCAAAGGAAAATGATGAAGCGCTGGAAGTTTTATACTACAGAAGACAACAGCGAAGGCATCTGTTTTCCTGCCTTTTTCTGGTCTTCTCCCCTCCCCCACTCTCCATCCTGCAGGCCATTTGTGGGTCTTGGCTGTTAAAACAACTAATTCTCTAGAATCTGAAAATCTTCTTCTTCAACATAGCTGGGCCTAAAAGTATGCAGTGCTCTTAAGAAGAAAACCCAAAGTCACAAGCTTATTTAATGGCAGATGTGTTTCGGAAAACTTTCCCCACAAAGTTTTGATGCTGTGAAATATCAACTCTCTGAAATCACAGAGAGGAAATGACTTACATTCTTGGAAAATGAAGCCACTAGCAGCTTTCTCCAATAGCATTTTCTAATCCCCAAACTACACCCTGTGGCAAGAGGGAGTATTTCGTGCAAAAACTACATTTAAATAGATGCTTATAAAACCAATAATAAACATCACCGGGTCGTCATCGGGTCCCAGAGAAAAAGGAAAGGAATCCTGCATGGAAAATCCTACAAGAGAGACTTTTCTTCCACATTCAAAAGTGCAGGAGAGCACAAGCTTGCAAATCAAAGCAACCTGAGAACACTTATTGAAGTTTTCCTTCCCCGCTGTGGGCATTGCACAGCTCCTAGGGAAATACTAGCAAAACTAATGAGATATATATATATGATGCAAAAGGGTAAAAGAGCTAATATTTCTTTGCACATTAGCTACACAACCGCTTGGCCTGAAAAATCTGCCAGCTTTTAACTTTAAAATACACTTGTTTTGACAGTTTTCCACCTATTCAAGCCTTTCAAAAAGCGCCACACCATTAGGTCTCCCGAGACACGAGGTGTGGTTCAATCCTTGGGGACCTCCCCTGGGTGGCCCCCAGCTGTCCATACCTGACAGCGCCCGCCCCGGGAGGGCAGCCCGGTGGTCTCCGGCC